GGGTCTGAGCCCCCGAGTTTAAGCCAAGCGCTTAACCACTGTACCACCAGAGCACCTTGGCTTCTGCTCAGTAATTGCCGAGACCCACGTCAACTGACAGCCACCTACGTGGCCTCAGAATCCCCATGGGCCTAGAATCCCTGGGTGGTGCAGTCAGGAGGCTAACTGGAAGGTTGCTGTGAGTCTACCGACCGGTGCCTCAGAAGAAAGAGCTGGTGATCAGTTTCTGAAAACGCCCTTGCAAGCCGCCTGGAGCACAGGGCTGCCGTGCTGCACGTGACGGTGCTCAGTCAGCGTGGGGCACACAACAATTGGGTTACGCAGATGACACCCACCCAACAAATACTCGTCGTTTACCACCTTAAAACCTGCAAAAGCCGGGACCCTTATCGGGCAGAAACCTGTCAGAGATGAAAAATCAAGTGCTTTCCACCAGTGGCAAGAAAAGTGGTAAGACTGCACCGTGTCAATGGCAGATAACTTGTGAGACCCCAAAAAACGAGGGATTCCCAGCAATTTCTGGCCCTCGGGTGTCCCTGGATACGCCAAGCACAGTTGCAAACCCACCCGCTGCCCTCGAATGCGTTCTGACTCATGACCCTGGGGGACAGCATAATTGCTTCGGTGGGTGTCCAAGGCTGTAATGACCCTAACATTTTAGTTAGCAAGTGAGCGCTTTAACCATTGTGCTACTAGGGCTCACTTACATGGGAATAGGGATTTTCATGGTAGCAGCCTGTAGCAGTGTGTGGGTCTAATAGAAGAGGTCGGAGGTGGCTTCCCTAGAACCCAAAGGATGGGAGGGCCCGGCGGCTGCAGTCCCAGAGGAGAGAATTCACTGGTAATCTGGAAGGTAAGAAGCCTGATAAGGTAGCTTAGAGCAAGGGCAGTTCCTCGTAAGCCAGGACCAGAGAGAACACCGAGGTGAGCTGGACGACCGGTCAAAGAAGTACGTTTATTTCAGAGGGGGATGGTTTACACGCGTTCGCCCTAGGCCTGGTAGTGTCTCCGCCCTGCGTTGGGTCCAGTTTACAGAATGAGAAACAGAGGCCGTCTGTCTGCCAGGATTTGTAGGGAAGGCGGGCGCCGAGACTAGCTCGGACGGTTGGAGGAGCAGCGCCTAGGGCGTTCGCCCCCCGAGGCCTCCGGCTGGAAGCCGGGATACGCGCTGAGCACTCCAATGCTGACGGGTGTGAGAGAAGGTGAGCAAAAACCAAGGTGGCTGCGTGCGCACATAGTACCAGCTGGCGAACTCGCCGA